ACTTAATCAGCGCACCAAGATATAGGCTAATAAACTGAAACGGACAGACTTGTCTTATGGCATTAAAGGGGAATTAAAGGGGTAATTACTTACAGAAAATATCTTTTATAATTAGAGAGATAAAAGATTGCTTTCTAATGCGACGCAAAAATACTCATCACTACGATGTTATTATAATCAATTTTAATCCTCCGCCGGCAACACGGAGGATCTTGAAGGAAACCATCGATATATTTCGATTGTTAATTCTGATAGAGAGATTGAAATCTGTACAAAATAATTAACCCTCCGCGAACCAGATGGAAAATCAACCCCGTGCCAGACTTCATCATAAATGTACTATCATAAATATACTAATTTAGTATGATTGGTAATAATGCACTCTTTATTTGCATGAAGCCGATGACATGCGCGCGGTATTTTCTAAAAAGCTATAGAAATTCATCTCGCTGAGGCACGTCACATCTCACCTGTTTCGCGAAGGGTTAAAGCTTTAACAAGTATACCAGAATTTTTTCAGATTTTTATATAATCCGTTTTATATAAACAAAAATTTTGCTCGTGGCTTTCTCAAAAGCCCCTACGTTGATGGAAGAGCTAAAACTCCACATTGTCGACAAAGAGTTAAATATTATATTATTAATTTTATCAATTTTAGATAATAGATCTCATCTTGATACTAGTATAAATAAATGTTTCCGATAGAAATAAACGAAGCGAAGCATTCTATTGTATTTAAACCCAACGATAATATAATGACACAAATGAACATGATAATAAGTATAACCGATATTGTCACTGACGTAAATAGAATACCTACAAATCTAATTTAACGCTAAAACAATAGAAATGTTATTTGCGATTGTGTTAATAATTGGGAATATATCGATGGGTAATAATCGGTTCGAACAATTTTAGATAATTGGAACGTACTGGTGCTTCTATCAGAATTTATAAATAACTTTAATTTTCAACCTGCAAGAGATGTCGTTTAACTAACGGCACTCTATCGGAAATATATGCGATTCGGTCGTCATCGCTGGTTTTGACGTCGGTTTGACCTACCAATCCGGATCTATTCCTAGCACTCACCTGGGATTACCTGTCACCTGTACATCGAATAGCACGGATTATGCTGGATATTCGATAACCCTTCGAAATTCTATCGAAAAAAAAATGTACAACCGCGCCCACATTCACAAAACACACCGAAGTTGGTTAATTTTATTAAAAGTCTCCTTCGTCGAGATGAAAAAATTGCTTTCTTCGCTATATTATAACTGGAAAAAATGTTGAGACATCTCGATGGAATCTTCTCATACTATATAAGAAAAAAATTAAGATCACTTCAATGCGACAGTCTCTATTTGACGCAGCAGTACGAAATAAATAAACGAATATTTTCTTCGGATTCTATCTCGCGCGGTTAAACCGGATGCGGATTTATCAGAGATGATCCCGCATGCGAGATACAACGTATGCGCAGTCACGTAGAATCAATAACGAATTATCCCTCGAGTATTGAAAGGGAAATCATCGGATCGCCGATGTCGGGTCGCATCGTTACGTGTCGCGTTGGGGAATTACGAGGAAATCAGAAATTACTGAGGTCCGTGTAAAGTTACACGCAAGAGCCATAAGTCTCGATTGATTTATGCTAAGTCCCGAGAAATGACTGTAAATCGTTGAGTGTTCGATAAAACGCCCCGGGAATTCACCTGCGAAAATGCAGAAAGTTCCATTCCAGTCCACCGTCGCCGTCGTCACTTAGCAGTTACGTCTTAAGAGTGATTACGTACAGATGCGTATCCGCAGATTTCGCCACGTCGCGTCGCAATTGGAACGGCAATTTCTCGCTGAAGACGTCGTTAAGCTAGGAAACGAGCAACTAAAGCGACTCTCCTCTCTCGCGCGAGTCTGTCGAGCACGTTAATTAGTTATCAAATTAAATCAATAATCTCGCGCGCCGCATTCCGCCGAAATTAAGTTCCGGCACGCGGTTCGCATCCCGCGATACCTGCGTCGCGTTCCTGCAGAGCCTCGAAAACGATGCTTCGAGGACGAGGATACTCACCGAGATTGTAAACGTTGGCTCCCTTCCCACAGGATTCGCGCACCTCTCGATTATCCCAGCCTATCGGATACATGACCAGGCCGCCGCATATCATCGTCGCTGTAACAAGAAAGCGGCTTATCAATTCTAGATTGCCCACTCGAATTTACACTGGAAGAAATTTCTGTTGTAAACTTTCAGAAGTGCCGGAAGTTTCGATCCAACAAAAATGTGCTGCAAATTTAAACGGTTATATTATGAAATTACAATAACATTTTGCGGTAAAGTGCATTCAAATCTCTAATGCGCGGCGAGTACCACTTTTGTAAATTCACGACAAATTTCTGTTGTAAATTTGCAAGTATTGTAAAATCGCAGTAAAACGTTATATGGTTTTTGCAAAATTTACTGCACATTTTTATTGCAAAGATATTGCAAATTTACAAACATTTCTAATGGCAGTGTAGCTGCCGTTGAAAAGTGTCGACTAAATTCATCTGTTTACTCTTTCGTATAATATTGTTAAGATGTTTAAATAAATTTCTTCCCCTTGAAAATATTACTTATAAAGATGAAGATGAGATTAGATTGAAAAATTGCTCTGCTTGCAAAATATGAATACTTTAGCAAAAAAAAAAAAAGCTGCATCGCTCGCGTGAAATTTGTAATTTTAACGTTGTATAATCAAATGCTTTTCTTCTAAAAAAAAAAAAAATAGTATTATGACATTCCCGGCTTCATCCTGCATCGATCATGTCTGCGATTCCGTCATTTTTCGAAAGCAATCCTTGAACGTAGAAAAGGATCGAAAACAACGAACTAACTTGAAGCGCGTAAATGGAATATGTCAATGTTAGAAGAAGAATGACGTCGCTTGATATCTATTTTATTTGGGGACAGTTCATTATTTCGCTGTGAAATGCGAGTCTCTCTCGCAGCTCCATTGCTTTCGCATCAATTTGAAACGACGCAGCGGGAATGGGTTGTCATTTTTGGAGGTGCATTATCTTTTTCTCATGCTCGATAAAAGGATTCGAAGCTTCTTTTATCATATATAATTTCATGATTATGAGAACAATATTTTTCTTTCATATACGTAGATAATAATAACGGAACATTGATGGTGACGGACCCGCATAATGTAATAGCGAAATTTAATTGCAAGTTGCGAGAAATATAACACACACTCACCAGCGAGCAATTGTAAGGAACCAAGAATCCTCGTGTGCTTTGGCGTTTTGAGGATATGCGGAAGGAATGACGATGCCGCTGCCAAAAGTGTCAGGGCGCCGATCACTGCAATCGCAACGCCGATACCCATCGTGACTGTGCTCGCCTGCCACCAAGCACTCGGTATGTCCCAAAAACTGCAACGAAACGTCGCTTATGATAAAAAGAAAGTTC